GAGCTGTAGGCATGGATCATTGTTATTTTTCCTCTTTTATGCAATTGCACAAGTAAAATATACGTGGAAGGTGATATGATATCACGGTCCAGTCTGAATGGCGCAGCCTTTCATTTTATTGTGAACCCAACGCCAGAGGTCCCAGTTTCGTCCACCGAAACCTGGTCACCGTCGTTCCACTGCAGAACTAATGGCTCAGATCTTCGGGTGTCGCAATTTCCATTGACGTCCTCTTTGATCTGCTCAGATTGCATGATAACAGACATCGACGAATGCATAGCGTTTTCCTGACCATGAAGATGAACTCGATGGCACTCCGAGTCCGTTTGCCAATCGTATCATGTGGTTTCCCGAGTCACATGTGTGCTGCAAAGGTCGACGCAGAAAACTGAACTCATTTTCTTGATTTCCGGTTTTTTTACCGTTTTTCTGGCGAGTAATTGTTTGGCAATTCACTCGGGATGCCGACCATCATGAACTATTGAAAACTTCTTCTCAACCTGTAGTCCTCAACCCATCAGCCGAACGAATTCATAGAAGCAGAGCAATTTGTGAGGTTTTCATTGCGGAAAGATATCATTGGCAGGTGGCGGTCAGCAGCGTCGACTCAACCTACCGGAGTGGGCTTTCGCATCACCTGCAGATCATTACATAGGAGGAGTACATGAAATAAACGAATGCCTTCATAAAAGAACAAGTTTTGATGAGCAAATAGTAAATGATGAAAAGTGTGATTGTGGTCAGTTTTCCCCTTCATTCCATGACTTCTGTTCGGCATAAAAACTTTTCTTCCAGACAGTGAATGGACATCAGGATCCGAAGACGTCGATCTATCGTATAGTAGTCGAGTAGCGAATTTACTTGACTATGCTAAGAAGTTCCACCAGCGTCCAATAATGTAGACAGTATGGCTACGAGTACAACTCCAGAGATTAAGGTTATAACTTTTTCCACTTAATGGGGTCGGTTTTATTCCGTTTTATTGGCGTATAGGTGCGCTTTTTTCGACGAGATGAACTTTTCCATTTTGTCTGATTTTGCTGCGAATGATAAATGGGCCCCAAAGGTTCAACTGGTTGTCAGCGAGAAAATGGACCGAATTCAGGAGACAGTTCGGAAGCAAAAACCTTAATTCGAACGATGTTTAAAAAAACGCTAGGTCATCGAGCATGCTGATTTATGGAAAACGTTCTATGCAGTGCTGGGGTCGAATTTCCAGACAGCACCCAAGGTTTCTGGCAGACTATCCACCGGTTCCGAGTTTGAAAGAAGGACTGTCTGAAAGTCCTGAACATCAAGTTGCCAAGGAAGAGGATACACTTTGGCGACGGCGAGACTATTTCGTGAAATTTGCAGACCCTGAGCAACCACAAGAAGACTCTTATGAACAGCATGAAGCGAAAGATGTTATTCCTCAGTAGATGAAGT